AAAACCAACCCATCGTTCTCCTGGATTGCTGGAGTCTTTGGTTGTTCATGGGTTTCCTGTTTGGCCATTTGAATAACAATGAGTGTTCTTCTGTAATTCCTCTGGACTAAACTGTCGTTTTCAACCTTTATGCTTCTTTTCCTCAGAAATGTGCACAGAAGACGTTCCTGGATATCTCAGATTTTAAGGTGAAGGATTTTCTAGGAGACAGTCATCTTATCCTGGTAACCCCAGAGGAGCGGCTCTCATCATCAGAAGATCTGCGCGAGAAAACATCCCTGCAGTCCATGGGGAAACTCTCTGTCTTCACCTCGACTGACAAGCTGGACTTTACGGATGTTCCCGGGACCGATCCAACCACAGGACAAGGCTTCGACATCCAACCAATCAAACAGCAGCAGCTCGATTCACTTCAGTCAGTTTTCACATCAAAGGATGCAAACATCTGGTCTCCTCACAGAGAAGAAGCCATTTATCCAACGTCCCATCATGGCGGCCCCTTCCCAGTGTTCCCAATTAGCTCCTGGAGACAACTTGTATCAGAGAGTGAAGAGCTGGAAGGCTTCTTGGAAGTGGAGTATATCACCAACAACTGCTTCAGAGCAGAGTCCACAGCTGGAGAGGAAACCAGTGACATCTGCCCCAATACTGCCCCCTAGTGGATATAGAATCCATGACACACCAAACATAAAACCTGATTGGATCAATTATAAAAGATGACTAAAATAAAACACTTCATCCTGCAGAAATTAAAAATGAATAAAATAATTAACTCTTCATTTTTTAGACCAGTTTTTAGAGACCAAACTTCTGTAACACTGGTTTTAACTTGTTAAAGCGAAAATAGTTCAGATAAATGTTTGAATTAAAGACTAAAATCCTTAATCTGAGGGATGCTAATGAACAAAGCTAAAATGGAATTTATTTTTTACTTTTGAAAGTTTTTTGTATTAAAGCTTATTAGTAAATGCAAGAGACGGATTTCAGGTTTGATTAAATAAGTTGCATATAAGATCAGTTAAACATTTTTGTAAAGTCCTTATTCACCAGTTTTGTTTTTTAAGCAAGCTATTTAGAGTTTAAAGCAAAAAAAGCTTTTCTTTGCTGATGACGGCCAACTTTTGTCCTTCCTTCCTTCTTATTAAATTTTTCTTTTTTTTAGTTTGTTTTTATATCTTCTAAGAGTGTTTTTTGGTGTATTATAGATGCATTCTAAACCAGGAGTCTTAACATCATCATCATGGTTTCATCATAGCAACATGTTTTTCCCTATTTTATGAAAGATGAAAAGCAGACATAATGTTCTACAGCCCATAATTTACTGTCTTTATGCATTCTTTTTATTTTTAATCCAACATCAGTCTGTTATTCCCATAAATTCCAATTATTCCTGTGCTCTAATAGGAACGTTTGCTTTTTTTATCTGAATATATCTTTTCTTATTAATAAATGTGCAAAGTATGAATTCCTCTCTGAGATGTTTTTTTTTCATATTCACATATTTGAAAATTTTCTTCTTTCTTGTATGATCCAGTTGTTTATCTGTCAGCTTCCTTCTGTCTTCTAGTTTTTCCTGCTGTGAGACAAAAGCTATTTTCGTTCCACCTGGATTGTGTTCTAAACTCGCTCCTAAACCTGCGGCCTTCACATGTACAGGGAGCCGTTAAATCTGCAAAAGGTCAATCGACATCATATTTAACCCTCTGGATTAAGAATAGTACCCGAGTGAAAAGACTTTTTGTGCTATAGACCAGTGATTCCCAACAGGGGGTACTTGTACCTCCAGTGGTCCGTGAGTGCTTTGCAAGGGGAACATGAAAATATTTAATTTCTCAGATAATAAAAATAGAATAGGGCTGGCATCTGTTTGGTACGACGGAATATTAGGGCTCGGCTAGAGAGATATATTTTTTCTCTTCTATCTCGAGAATAAAGTCGTAAAATTAGGAGAAAGAAGTTTTATTTTATGACATTTCTTCCAAGAATCCCTTTCTTCCCTAAAATGAGGAATGTGGAGCATCAGGTGAAGTTCTACTTTAGCATCGGTTTGATTAATCAGGAAATCTTTTAGCAGCAGCATCAAACTGGGCAGGATGTCAAAGTGGACTCTGGTTGCTGATTGGTGGAGCTGGTC